CAGTAGAAGCAGCATTACAGAATTCCTGAACCACTGCCAAGACTAGTGCCCATTTCATACAAGTTCCTATTCAGAAGTCAGTCTACTATATTTGCAATTTAAATTGCAAATAGGAGGTAGGATTGCTAGAACTCCAAGTACAAGTGGCTTCACATCAGGCTTCTCAGGGCGACATCCTCCAACTCCACTCCCGACTTTACAGCACTCAAGACTTAAAACACATTGAGCTGAGCCCAACTTCAAGTCATACACTGCAGTCAGCAACTGAATCAGTTGATTACACAAAAGCAAAAGCAACTAATTTTGTTCCTTTCGTATGTGTGTGCATATACACACACATGTATTTCCCTACCCACCCTGCAAGCCCTCTTCTCCACTTGAGCAGGGAAGATCCCCTGCAGAAGTCAGAGCACCCAACTGCCACCGGCTGTTCCTGGTGCAGCACGAACAGTGAGATTGTAGCTCAGAACAAAGTCACAGGTATCTTCAAGTTACAGAAGAGAGCTTCGCAGGCCTAACTTTATTAATCTTACTTTAGCAGGGACTCCCATAAACAACTGCACTTCTTCATGCAATACAAGGAACTCTGAAGAGTGGAGAGCCCAGACAAGACAGCTGCCTTACAGTGTAAAGGAGCAAGAAAATAATTGCTTAAAGACTCAACGTTGAACTCTGACTGCATGCTACAGCACTTCTTTGCCTATAATGCATGAAATTATAAATATTGGCAGCAGACGTCTCTACATTCCACAAAAATCACATGGGGAAAACCCAGCATTTAAGTTTAATGATGCACGCCCTCGATGGCAAGCCCTCCTTGCAAGCCAGCGGGAGAATGCGCAGGCACACGCTCCGTAGGCGCAGCCATGCCAGGCGCTCGCCCAACGTGCACCAAGCTGCTCAGAGGAGCCAGGTTTTATTAGGAAAAGACTTTGTAACCAGGGCCAACAAGCCTGAGCAAACCCCACAAGCTCAGCTCAGTAAGAGGCAGTCACTCGTTACACAACCCAAGGTAACCAAGCATGCGCTAGCACCAAGGTTATTCAAAACCAGCCTCAGTAAGAACACTTAGGTGTAAGGCACATAATAGGAGGTTTCCACTGACCTCCTGCCAAGCTTGAGACAGCCTGGAAGAAAAAAAAAAAAAATCTTCCTTTTAGTGCTCTATCAGCCTCAACACCTCCCTGCCCCACCCCAAATCAAACCCCAAACTCCCAGAGACCAGAACCAGCACAGCTTTGATTGCAGACCCGATCAAAGATGCCAGGGCCAGCACTGGAGACACTGAGACAGAGGAGCTCTATGCAAACCCAGGTGGCAGTACACCAGCCCCAACAAGGGCAGCACAGCAGCAGCAGTGAGCCTGGTGTCTGCAGCAATACGTGAACCAAAGGGAAAATGCAGCCACATCTCATCCCCACACCTCCGAGCAGGGACTGGATCACCGAACTTACGGATCTATTCACGCACAAAATTAAAAAGCATTCCCCACCAATGCAGTGGTTAACCAGACTTCAGAAGCGTTTGTAGCAACCATCCATGAGTTCTATCTCCTCCTTCCATTCAGGTCACAAGTACATTTTAGCCAAAACTCTGGAGTCCCAAAAGTTTCAGAGAACATCATGCTAGTGAGATATATGCCTGGCCTTACCAACTGGAGAAAAGCCATCAGACTAGTTAGCATCATCATCCAGCACATCATCCTACAAGGGGGCTCCTCAGGAAGGGTTACCAGAACAGGGCAGACAGTAGCATTTCCCAGGACTGACCTCCCAGCTGGTTGCCCAAGGCACAGACGGTACCTTTGGAGCAAACGCAATGGAGTGCTGCCAAACACTGCATTTGCTAGGTACCCCTTGAACTGCATGCTCCACAGTACCTGCTGGGGAGAAAGCACCACCACGGTGTGCATGGCCATGACCTCTTCTGAAACTTTCTCTTCTCAGATCTAATACGCCTCAGTTCTTGCTCACCAACTCTTTCAGTACCATCAAGTCCTACCTACTACCTGGCCAGTCATGATCCTACAGACCTGTAATACATGTCCCTCATCTGTTTCCAGGCTGAAGAATTGCAATTCACTCCAGTTTCTGATAGAGGAAACCCTCCTCTTCGTTTCCCAAACACTTCCAAGCTCCACTATATTCCTCTCAAGGTAGGCAGCAGACCAGAGCAGCCCACAGCATTGCAAGACACCACCACACCACGGATTTATGCGGTGGCACCACCTTTCTGCTTCTCGAGGTCCTCCACTTCTGAAGCTGATTTTCATGTGCTGCTGCAGAGCACCCACCTGATGCTTTCATGAAGCTACCACAGACCCTTTTCTACCAAGACTTCATCCCTCTGGCAGCAGATGCCCCTGAGCCAACTAGTTCATAACTCCAGGCTGCTTCCCGCTCCTGCCTCCCACACATGACTCGATGCCTACCTTTGGCAAGCATCACCCCCTGCTTCATCACATAGCCTGCTATGTCAGCATGCACCCATCTTCATCGCCCTGAATAACAGATATTACTCGAGCACCAAAGCGTTACCTCACATGCTTTTCCAGATTAGATGGGACTGTACTGACCATCATGTAGTTTGCTCCTGCATGACAGCTCTGGTGGTTCTCTGGACCACAAGAGAGCTCCACCTCATCTCAGCTCTGCCTCCACTCAGTCAACTCCATCCCTGCCAGGATGCGATTCCAGCGCTGCTTAGTTTCCCTAACAGCCTTGACATTTCCAGCAGATACTGCACAAGCGAACTGACTCGCTCTAAGATTCAGGCTTATGCAGGCTTCAAAGTTAACAGCTTTGTGAAGTCTGACTTCCCCTTCCAGTAGCCATTCTCTCTTCCCTAATGTCACATCTCCAAGTGTACACCAAATTTGTGTTTTTAAAGAATCTCCTCCTCTGCCTACTCCAGAGGCACCACATGTGCCACTTTCTACACAAACTAGAACAACTTAAAACAAAAAACCAGCCTCCAATCCACTGCATTCCAGCCCCCTGGCACAGAGGTAGGTGGTGAGCAGGAGGTTTGACCTAATCACAATGCATCTGTAGTTCTGAAGTAACTGTTGTGTGACCTTGGCAAGTTGTGAATCACTTATTTGCTGTTGTTTCACCATCTTTTCATCGAGAGGTCAGTTCAGGCCTATGGGGGACTCCAAGACAGTTACGGCAGAGAACTTCCCCAAGGTCTTCCCCAAGCACATCCAGTAAGAGAAAGTCCCACAGAACATCCCTCTGAACAGTTTTACACCTGGACAGATCAATGTCTGCAAGGACTCCCTGGTCCTCATGTGTCTGAAGAGGGATATGTTAGGTGGGTGTGCTTTTGCAAATTAGGCCTAAAGCTTTCTTTTGGCTAGCCTTATTATATTTTTGTATTTGACCTACCAGCTTTTATGAACCTTTATCTCCTTCCTTTGGACACAGCTTCAACTTTTTGAGAGCCTCCCAACTTTTGTTTTAACAGCCTCCTATACCCAGCCATCTGCTTTCTGCTTCCTCTTGCCCTCACTCAAGTCTCCAGTGGAGGTAAACAGATGCCACCTGACATGCAATCTACAGATACCTGCAGGTTTGCTGCAGACCATTTAAATTCCTCACCTGTACTTCCAAGGCATTTTTTTTTTTTTTAAACTTTAAAAAGTGGGTACTGCATAAACTTGATCACAGCTTCACAGGGCCTTTCAGCTTCTCTTGCTCCCAAAGGTGCACTAAATCTAACTACATCATTGCCACCATTCCTAAGCAGCACTTGGGCAACAGGAGTCCACACCCATGGACTACTCAGAAACATGAACAGACTTGTTCCTACTCTTGGAGGGGGTTCCCAAGGCCAAGAGCCAGTCACTGATTGTGCCTTCAAGATTAGGCTCAGAATAGCACTCGGGCACAACGTTTTTGCTCAATTTGCTTCCATTACTTAACAGACTTTTCACATCTCCGCTACCATAAGGAACATTAAAGCCTTCTTTCTTCTTAGGGTTGTTCCTGTCCTCTAGTGCTGCCTCTCCTGTTCATTGAGGTTCAAAAGCCTAAAATAGCCAAAGAGACTGCTACTTTATTCCTCCATCGAGGACATGAGGTTCACTAACACCACACTTCAAACTCCCCTTTGACAGTTTTGGTAGGGCACAGATGCAGGCAGCGAGCCCTGAGAGCCAAGGGCTACTGCAGCTGGTCTGCAAACGCCCTTACTCCTGGCTGGGCCTGCTCCCCACTTTTCCAGCCTCTCAGTCCTCCCAGCCACTCCTCAGGACACACACCCTGAGAGGAAGAAGCATTCACCACCCTTTAACTCTTCTTTCTCACTCTCTCCTTTTCCCCACGCCCATCCCCTGGGAAGGCCACCCAAGGAGCTGCACAGCCATGTCCCTGTGGCTCCTCGGGGCAGCAGCACCAGCCCATGAGTGCCACAGCCCCCTTCCCCACCACCACACTCCTCCTCCCCTCCACCCCACTAACAGGTCAAGCCTGAATCCAAGCTTACCGGGCACCCAAAGGTGCAAGCACAGCTTCTGAGCCTTATTACCACAGAACTCCCCAGCTGAATGAAAAGCCTCTCCCCACTCCCTGCCTTGCACCCTAGGGAGTAAAATGGCAACAGTCATGTTAAGAGCATCTTTGAGGCAATGCCTTTGCCACAACAAGTGTTCTTACACTATAAAATAGTCTGTAGCTTCAAAAAAGAAATAGACACAAAGCAAACCATGAATACTTCTGTTTCATCAACAGGTCCAACACCTCACTGACCCAGAGGTTTCAGCCAGCACATTGTTAGGCTTTTCTTATCAGCTACAGCCTTCCAAATACTACCCCTCTCCTCACCCTCCTGGCAAGTCCCAGGTGGCAATACGCCCCTTCTTGTCCCTTTGTGAGGCTCCTCTGCCCAAGTTCCCTCAATCGCAGCCCAGTTCCATTTTCTCACTTTGCTGAACCCCATTTTTAAGTTGGGAGATCACAAGCGCTTTATTCCTTCGCACTGCATCATCTTCCAGTCACCCCACACGCAACACTGCGACCAACTCCAGCTCTGGTTTCTTCACACAGCTTCAACTTCATTCCTCCACATCGGACGGCGAAGAGGAGCCACACGCCCATCTCCCCACCGCAGCCTGGTAGCCGAGAGAAATTTCCTTCTGCTTCACACCTACGCATCAGGCACACGGGCAGCCGTCCCGCGCTCTCTGTGTACTTTTCCACAAGTCGGACGATGCCAAATTCAGACATCCACGCCCCGAGAGCCTCAGAAGCAGCCCCAACCCCTCGGCTGAGCCCCAA